ACCAAAATCCATGTACCCTGAAATCCCTGATCTAAAATTGTGCAGTATTTGCATATAATCTACACACATCTTCCCATATACTTTAAATCATCTCTAGATTACTCATAATACCTAATGTAATGTAAAGGATGCATGAATAGTCATAAAATTGTATAGTAATTACATAGAACATGTCAGCAACAATGTATCATTTTCTTTGTTTCAACACTTACAGATTGCTTTCGTTGAATGGCAGGGTGTACTTACACATCCTCATGGGTTCAGTGTAGTGCTCAGCATGCGACAAATTCAAGTGTAACCTTCTGGAACTTTCTGGAATCATTATTATATATATGGATCCATGGATGCAGAAATGGAGGGCTGACTGAATGTCATATACAGTACCATTAAAATGGTTAATGCAAAATACATGTATGCTAGAGACTACAGTTCACCGAGAACATGTGAGGACTCACCAAGGGGGCAGCTGGGTTAAATAACCCCTCCCTTTGATGGTTTAGTGTCAGGGGAAGAGGTGCAGTAGCAGAAAGCCATGACTAATTCTTGTCCTGACACAAAAAGGGGAAAAAAAAATCTCTTGTCCAGACGTGCCTGCCGATCGCTCGCTTCCTTTCAACTTTCAAAAGTAAATACTCAGAAATGAACCCCGCCGCCCCCACCTCGCCAGGAATACGGAGAGGTGATGTGGCGTGATGTTTCATCATCCTATAGCCCTGCACCAGTTCAGACTGTCTCCGTGGGCGACGGAGGTGCCCGGCCCCGTCTTGGCGCTGATCCTCACAGAGTGTTCACTTCCTGAGCTGAGCAATCCTGCCTCTGATGTCTCTATTAGTGACCATGTGACATCGCAGGTATAGTGGGACCGTTCTCCGCATACTTTGTGGATTAGCGAGTCCCTCAGATTTGACACACCCCCTTTACGCACGGAATAGATTAATTCCCAACCAGCTCAAAATGCCTTATCCAAACAGCCTTTAAAATGATCCTCAGCTCATCTCAGTAGTGAGTAACATGAAACGTTGTGCTTCATAACACTTACTAGAGAAAGCAGGGTCCGTGGGGAGGACAGCGACATCACTCTGCCAGCCATGGGACTTGAACATGCGACCTTCTGAATATAAGCATAGAGTCCTAACCTGCTAAGCCATACAATTTCTACCTCTGTAACCTAGTCAAGTTCCTGTGATGGTGGGGGGAGGGGCAGAATTCCATGCCAGGCAAGAGTGGGGTACTCCCCAAACAGAATGGCAGTACGTCCATATTTATGTTATGTAAATAGTAAATCACTACAAAGTACATTTCTTTCATGTGCCATTCAGTTAAATAAGGCTTTAAGTCACTAATGATAGAAGTCTAGTAACAAGTATGAGATTAAATCATATCCCATCAAGTTTGAATTGTATAAACCAGTGTTTCCCAATCCGGTCCTCAGAGGCCCACAGCAGTCCGCGTTTTTGCTCCCACCCAGCTCCCGGCAAGGGAGCAAAAATGTGGACTGTCTGGGAGGGAGATGAGAGGGAGCAAAAATGTGGACTGTCTGGCAGGGAGATGAGAGGGAGCCAAAATATAGACTGTCTGGCAGGGAGATGAGAGGGAGCAAAATGTGGACTGTGGCAGGGAGAGGAGAGGGAGCAAAAATGTGGACTGTCTGGCAGGGAGATGAGNGACTGTCTGGCAGGGAGATGAGAGGGAGCAAAATGTGGACTGTGGCAGGGAGAGGAGAGGGAGCAAAAATGTGGACTGTCTGGCAGGGAGATGAGAGGGAGCAAAAATGTGGACTGTCTGGCAGGGAGATGAGAGGGAGCAAAAATGTGGACTGTGGCAGTGAGATGAGAGGGAGCAGCTGGGGGTCCCCGAGGACCGGATTGGGAAACACTTTTATAAACCGACATCAGACAAACCCCAATATATTCTGGCAGTTCCCATACAATCCTCACAATGCAGATGGGCTCCTTTCCACACCAAACATCAGGAAGGACTATTACTTGTGTGTCTTGTGCCAATAAGTATGACAAGGTCAATTACTGCTGATCATCTATGGCAGGGGTGTCAAACTGCAGTCTTGGGGGGCCGGAGCCCTGTGTAGCTTAGCTCTTTCCCCGTTCCACCACAAGAGATTCAGCGCAAGAGCTGTGTGGTAATTAGTACAAGAATCAGTTGTGTTAAATGAGGGGAAACCCAAAAATGTGCAGGACTCCGGCCCCCCAGGACTGGAGTTTGACACCCGTGATCTATGACATCTGGACATCCCAGTCTCAGAGCACTAGGACCAAAGCAAACCTCAGGAAAATGTCCAATCCTAATCATCAGGTAAAAATGGCTGCATTTTGTTATATTCAAGCATGATGACGATTGCTTGTTTATATTTGATGCAGGGAAAACTTAAGTACAGTGACATCTATTAAAGTCTATTAATTTCTTTTCATAGTCATTCCTTGTCATTCCAATTTACAGTATCAACTGGAAGATTTAAAAAGCGTTATCTTCTGCTTATTGCTGAAGAATGTATGGTGAGTTTTAGCATAGAACTCCATTTCTAACAGCATGTTTTACACTGGAACCAGAGTGTTCAAACTGCGGTTTTATATTACTATTTAGGACAAGATACGACGTAAGATGTTGTCTTTAGAGTTCTGCCATGATGATATATAAAGTGTTCCTTTGTTAAGAGATCTGGCTAATGTTTTGCATAATATTTGGCAGAAATAACAGCTCTGTTTTTCTTCATACTTCCATGAAATAAGTCGCTTTAAATATAACAAACCACAAAAGAACATGCAAGTTGTAATAAGGGTCCACGACGGAAAAAAGTCAACCCCATTAGACTTTGTTGCCCACTAGGTAGCACTGCTGCACAAAGATGCTGAAATAATGTAGGCGATTTAGTGATTAATCCCCTATCATGAAAAATCAATTCGGAATGTTTTTTCATTACGTTTCATAGGATACGATAATTAATTGCAGAAGCCACTGAAGACACGATCGATGGATTTATTGATGAAAAGTGTTAAAACAGTTTACTTCTTAAAAATAAAATCAAAATCATATGATTAGACTACAATTGCAAAATATACCATCCATTCATTCTAAATCCAATACAGAGAAACCGACCTAACACTTACATATAACACTAACACCTTAAATTAATTAAACGCCACATCACAAACTCTTCCCTAAATTGTTATGCTGAAAATACGTTTTCTGAAAGAAAGCCTTTAAACATGAAAGGAGAAATAGACGGAGGGCGATAATTGTTTTTTAACATTTCCTTAAAGCCAGTCTTGTTGTCAAAGTTCATGCGTTTCCGATTGTAGAGGATTTTCAGTCGAACAAAGGTAATGAAAGTTGGCCAATTTATTGTTATAATAGGACACGACTAAAATAACAATAATAATGATAATAATACAATTTTAAAATATGAATAAAATTATTATTATTAAAAATCCAAGAGGTAAACGATTGTGAATGAGGTTACTTTAAGAAATGCACGATATTAAAAAGAAAAAAAGACACGTGTATTACGCAACTTTGTGCCTAGGCGTTAGACACGCTCAGAGCCCAAGATAAAACGAAATATCCTACGTTTTTTGGCGTGCTGCATCAGGTCCCCGCCTATATAGCGTGCCACCCATTTGCATTCCAGTTTATTCATCTAAGGAAAGATCCCGGGAATTTCAAACCGCGCCTCTTGGGAATGCATTGTGTTGTAAATCTGACGTGGTGGGCGTGTCCGGGGGCATATAAATACCATATAAATACCAAACACGAGTACTCCAGGTGTACAAAAGCAGCAGTAGCATCCCAGTTTTTAATGAGCACTTCCAAAAACCGGTAAGATCCACATTAGCGATAGTCTTAGGTTAACTTAACGTTCGCCGTGCAATTTAAAAATAATAGTGCTACAGTATATTTATTCGCCATATAATTGTTGCTTTTCCTGTACATTTTTTTTTATAGGTTCCCAGCGTGTGTGGAAAATATTCGAATAAGAGATGATGATCTTTAACAACTTCGTACTGTTGCTGCTCATCGCCTGCATCGCCCTGCAGGTCTTCGTGGTGGAGAGTGAGAAGGGACAGGGGAAGAAGGGAAAGGGAGAGGGCAAAGGCAAGGGGGCAGGGAACAGGGAGGCGACGCCGGAGAACCACCCCGTGGCACCCCGGGGTAGCGACAAGGGTCAGAAGACCCGAGGAGGAAAGGAAGCCTTCAAGGGTAAATTTTCCACGAAAGATAAGAAGCAGTGCACCTGGGCGGCAAACGGCGAGGACAAATTCACGCTTGGAGTCACATGCAAAAAAGGAGAGGAGAGTTTTAACTGCGAGTACACAGCCACACCTGCCAGATGTCCCCAGTACGCGTCCAACGTCAAGATGTACTGGAAGCAGATCGCCCGTGCCCTGAAAAAACAGAAGACTTTGTGCCAGGATGCGAATGCCATTATTAAAACGGGCGTCTGCAAGAAAGCCGCCAAGGACGCGCATTTCAGACTAAACCTCGCACCGCCACAGACAGTGACTGAGACCGCGATTATGTCCTCAAAGGGAAACAAGTCGTGCACGGAGGACGTGGACAATGAAAAACGGGCAGAAGAATACTGCAACGGCTCATGGTCATCCTTGTGTACTTTCTTCTTCTCAATGGTACAAAACGGGGATTGCTGAGTACCTAACGCACCTAGTGTGGTTAAAACCCTTCACTTCAAGCTCTATGTCTTTCTAGCGTCCGAATGTACAAAAAGCAAGGGATTTTCCCGACGATTATTAACATATTTTAAAAAGCAAATATATAATGCACTGATTTGATCTCTTTTTTCACGAGCTGTTTGCTTTAATTTTGCTTATACATTTGTATTTATAAGTTTTAAAGATGCTAAATAAATATTTTTATGTATTCATTATGTCCAGTGTACTTTCTCTCCAGAATTGCTGTCATATGTAAATAATTGTATATTTTTCCATGCAGTTGAATTAAGCATTAAATTGGGTTCATTTTTAAATTACCGCATACGTATACATGCTGTCATTAACCCACAGTTTGGTATTTAACATGAATCCCAATTATTTACAGGTTATTTCTTGAGTTTCCAACATCTGGTTGAAGAAATGGCATCTCCGACTATTATTAAGACTAGCCGAAAGTCATTTTCTGAATGAGGTCTTTTAGCATTCGTGGTCAGAGCTGTGTCCATGTATTTAGAAATCTAAAAAACAAAAAAAGATAGCTTCTCTTTTCCTGAAGAGGAATGAGTAACATTTTTAAACTCCACACGGCACATACACGCAATCAGAGATGCAGATGCGTGGGTGACACCCTGGCTAGTCTGATAATGGTCTGTGTGACTTACACAGTCCTCTAATACCTTACAGTGTGTGGAACTTCGGACTGCTTGTCGTTAATTCACAAGTGCTGAACCTTTAAACACTGGCCTGTCCCTATTTTTCTCCACGGTTCAGTTTTCAAAGGGATGTCCGTACCTTCATGTCGAAGCTTGATTTTAGAGATGAACTAGGGACGGCGTTGCAGCTCCAGCTGTGTAAAATTGCTTTAATTTTCCCAGGTGTTAGTTTTAAATTAACAGAACACTGCAGCATGACTCACACAACCAGCATTAACAGAACGATGTTAATGAATGGGTGCTTGACCCCAGCGTTCACCTTTATCAACATTAAACACAGCCACACTGCATCTCATGGCCAAGAGAAACACTTCAAAGGCATAGCTATCGGCTCGTTTACCAGAGTTCTCAGAGGTGGGCTATTAAACAAAACATATTTTACAATGGAGTTATTTTGTTTTGCTTGGCTTTGTCACTGCAACATGTTTGTTTGTTTTTTTTAAATCCCTGCTGAAATAATTCAGCTGGCCCAATAGCCTTCAGGGAAGCCAGAAGATAAAAACAAGGCACTGATTAGCCATTCCAACACAGCTAAATTCTTACCACAGGGCTCGCGGATGCCTTTTAACTGTCAGTAAAGTCATCAAAAATTCAGAGATAATACAAAACTGTGAAGGCCAATCAGTCATTAAGACAGGCTGCCAAACATCTGAACACGCAGCAATTCTCGGCAATTATAATTTTTGTTCAGCTGCATTTACATATGAATTGTTGATCTGTTGTTAGAATTGTATTTGCTCATTTTTTTGTCTTTTTTCATATTAAGGATAATGTAGAATTTAACGCAGAAGTTGTACCTTAGGACATATGTACAGTTTTATGCAAAGACTGGTAATATTTTAAAAGAATGGCATCTGGACTTTTGCTCATTAGACACTATGAAGTGTGATTCCTGACTAATTCATCAGAATCAGAATTCTTTTATTATCCTGGAGGAAATTGTTTGTAGTGACAGATGGCATAGTACACAGAGACACAAAAGAAAAAAGAAACAATACACAATGTCACATGCAACAACTTCTATATAAAAATAAATGAGTAAATGTATCAAGATGGTAATAAATTAAGCGGGTACGGTACTGTAGTGACAAAATACAAATTTGCTGGTAATTATTGCACAAAGATAAATAGACAGGCAGATATTTATAAAAACAGGCAGTATTGCATATCTGCACTGAGTGATTTACTGGTTGTGCAATCTGATGGCCGTTGGATGGAATGATTTCCCTGAGGCGCTCAGTGGAGCGTTTCATGTTGACGAGTCTATGTCTAAATGTGCTTTTATTTATCTAACCACAGTACTGTGGAGCAGGCTGAAGTCTGCACATCGACCCCCTCTCTGCCGCAGTGTCGCAGACATAAATCCGAGACCTTATTCCTTATGTCTCATGCTGGTCCCTTAAACACGAGGATGGTGAATTAGCTCTATCAGCATCTGTTGCATGGGGTTCCTTGTAATTCTGGGTGTCTTTTTGAGGCCAGCCCTCACAATTTACTATATAAAACTGAGGCATTATGACGCGTTAGTCCTGTATGCCACAGACAGCCGCACTCAGACTCCTTTTAAGCAGGAAAAGCGTCATATTGGGGTTTCACCATTGAGTGTTCATTACTGAGGTATATCCCTGAGCTATAGGCGATTAAGGCACCGTAACTGTGTAAAATTCCAGAACATTTTTGGAAGAGCAAGGGGATTATGCACACCAAGGTTACAATATGGCTAGTGTTGTTTTATACTCAGAGCTATAGCCTGGGTTTTTTTTAAATACAGAGGTCTTAAGTGTTATCCCATCCTAAGTGCGCCCCATGATGGGTCGGGGGTATTGGAGCTGCAGAAATGCTGAGGACTTGACCTCGGCATCCTCAATAGTAGGTACGGCCATTTTTATGCTAATGAAATAGTTATGGAGGAGGTCTTCCTTCTGGTGGGTGGGCAGATGCAGATGACATGGTGGAGGAAAAAAAATGGATAAGGGTGAAAATAAATGGGAGGAAAAGGAAAAACAGAATTACTCAGGGGAAAGGAATAAGCTGCAGAAGCACAGCACTAGGATGGATACTGAAGTTGAAAAGAAAAAACAGTTATTCATACTCAAGAGTGGAATTGAGGGAGAGGAGGATTATATTACTGAAGTGGTTGGTGTTTAATACCTGGCTTAATAACAATTTATTGATCTTTATGGGGAAATTCTATTTTCACCTACCCCATTTTACCCTTCATAACACTCAGAGATAGGTGAGAACAAGCTTGGTGGTGAATGGCAGCCATGGGCACCTCTTGCATCTGGGGATTAAGGACAAGGCCTACAGCCATGTGAATATTCCCCCAAAGCCAGGATCAAACCAGCCACCTTGTGATCATAAGCCCAGAGGCTTAGCGCGTCGAGTCACATGACGTCCCCATGAGCCCAAGCTGAGTTGACTCACTTTGACTGGATCAGTGGTGACCAGCTCCTTCCAATCAGCTCAAGCATGCATCCTACACATATAAAAACCTCCAAAAAAATCTGATTCTGATAAAAAAATGAAAAATGATTGTTCAACTTCTCAGGCAGTGACACAAACCATACAATAAAACATGCAAATACTTTACTATATCAAATAAGTGGATCTATGTAGTCATGCTTTCCCATTTATCTTGCATTATAGATCACCGCCACTCTGAAATTTCTGTCCTGTTTGATGTGAAGCCTCCAATTATTTATTGATAAAACAGGTGCAGGGTTGCCAGTTTTGGTCAGCCGGCCGGAATGAAGTTTTCAGTTCGAGACCAGTCTGCATGCAAATGCACATGCATGTAACAGTTTCATCACCTGTAATCTGTAGGGTTTACAATCTGCTCCAACGCTCTTGATGCAGCTAATTTGAGGTTTATAATGGATTAATATAGATGCGTGACAGTTGGCAAACCTTGCAGGTATCACCTCCTCAGCAAGCAAACAAAGTATGGATAAGAGAATGCCAGTCCAGTACTACATTCCCTGTGGTAGGGCCCAGTTTTTGTGCATTGCACAAGATGGCCTGTCCCTGTGACATTGATTACTGTCTGGGAGCTGGCTCAAATCCTCCCCCCCCCCCGATTCTTCTTACTTTAAGGCAGCCATGTGCCGCAAACGAGGAGGACCCAAAGGCCATGGCTGTTCTTCATCGCTGGATGGTCCAGGAACTGGGAGCCTCGAGTAGTCAAAAGAATCCCGGATAAAAAAAAATACTATGGAGTGACTCCCTTGATACACAAAGTTTAGACAGATGGACTAGTGAAACATCTCAACATCAAAAGCCCGGAGCCTGCGCTGACTGTTCGTGTACAGTGCTCCTCTGTTGTCCTGCAGACCCGTGTCATGCCTGAAATCCACCGCCAGCTCCATATCTTCCTGATGTTCAGCTGTCGGTGATACTTCCTGCACCACAAGACAAAGTACTCCACTAGCCCCTTCGCCCCATCTTGCTCTCCATACCGGTGAGAGCAAGTTGGTGGGGATTACAGTGCAAGGGCAGGTGGTGCCCAGGGAGCTGGGGGTTAGGGTCCTGCTTTTGATCACAGGCACAGAAGCTTAGTCTGCTGAGGCATGTCCCACCCCCGGCCTGCAAACTTTCCACACTACTCTCATTAGAGAACCTATTGGTGTTGTGCTGAAAGTCTGTTCTGTAGAGGGTGAACAGGAAGGGAGATTGGACACTTCTCTGAAGAGCTCAAGTGTTGGTCATTGTCTTCTGTCATGGAACCTCACACACTGTTGTGTGTTAGTAAGGTAGCTTATGAGCCAGTAGACTGAATTTCCTTCATTCCTCCCCCCTCATTCAAACACCTGCCCCTCAAATACTCCGCATACGGCACTGGTCTTAGTCAGATACACGTCCTCTTTGAGATCCATTTTGCCCCCGTGCACGTTTGTGCAGCGCGTTTGTGTAGCTCTGCAGTTTGCAGTCCGCACAATATCTACGTCCAACTGAGTGTCTGAACCCATGACCCTCTGCAGGAAACAATTACCGGCATTATCTCGTCACGCGAGCAAGCACGGAGAAGCAGGTGCTCGCCATTGATTTATCAAAGGAATTCTAGAAGGAGGCACAAGCAGGGAAGATGGGGCATGCAGGGAACAGCTTGGGATGAAGGCTCCCGATTCCCATTGCAACCATCCTGAGGGTGTTTTCATTACCTACACATTTGCACGTATGCTTTGTGTTTTGTTGTCTGTTCGCAACGCTACAGCCTGGGATCTTCAAGCACAACAGCAGGAGTGGCTGGTGTTAATCTACAATAAAGCGAAATATACTGGTAATATTGGCTTGACAGTCAAAGAGATTCTCTGGACAAAGTCCCAGATACTTGAAAAGACTGTGTGTCTCTTCCTTTTTAACACCTAAATCCTTTTAGGGTGTTTCCTCTTATTTATGTATAAAGATTGAATACATAAATGACACCAGATTCTTTTCAAAAGCATTGTGAGGTTTATTTAACAAGGAATTTGCCCACTGTTGAATTTAAAACCCAGT